TTTGGATATTCAACTCTACCAAGAAAGTGCGATCGAATCACATCGCACTGCATGATGATGCTACAGGACTCTGACTAATAGCCTATCTTAAATTCATATTTGAGTGAAAGTATGCAGCAATTTTTACAACTTTCTTCTATAGTGCAACTCAGTCTTTCTGCTCAAGGCTTCCAATTAGAATGAGGTTAAATAGAGATTTATCAACGAAAATAAAGCACAAGTTTGCATCATAAAATCAAATATCTTGTTGGAAAATCGACTCTGGAGATAGGAAGAAGAAGAAGAAGAAAAACACGTTGATAAACTGGAATTTTCTTTCTAGCAGTGACACTTGATATGAAACTATATCTACTTACAATTGACGAAAATGTTTAGCGAAAGTTCATCTGGTTGACTCAATGTCAAACGAATCATTTGTTTTTTTCATTTGATAGGCCAGAAAATATCCTATTCGACAAAAAAATCCCCAGGTTTTATCTTGTCCCTATAAAAAGTTATTCGAAAAATAGTGCACTAATGTGTGCTATGGCATACAATACTCATGGGGCTCGGGATATTCTATGGACTCCTTAACATCCATACCTGAACGAAAGCCAACATATGGTTATACGATACAGATATGAACATGACATGTGTATATATTAGGGATGCTGCTGGGCTATTGAAATCTCAAAGCTCTGTAGAGATCGAATACTCTGAGAGCATTCTTTGTCTAAAAAAAATTGTCTCGAGACTGCGAATCTGAATTAAAACTGTTGCTGTCTCCAATACTCTGACATCCGATTCGTTTCATATATGACGCTTAATTAACAAATTCTATATGATGTCGTATATATTAATCGACAGACTTCTGTTTTCTCCGTTCAGGTCAGAGAATCGTCTTATATAGAATGTGAGGCTCATCGTGTAGAGAAAACAGGAAATCGATCGAAATATCAGAGAATATATAAGAGGATAGGAATCTAGGAAGCATCTTGTGACAGTCAGCACTCTCACTACCCTCGCATGAAAAGAGAAAATAGACACATGAGTCATTTATTTGGTTTATTCCAAATATCGAGTACTTCACATGAATAGAAAATAGGAATGCATGAGTCATTTACTTGTTTTATTTCCAATATGCAGTGTCTCACATTGTGCTGTCAATAATGTTCACATCGGAAGTTGTACAGTCGTAATTGGTTTGAGAGTGAAGCAATAACAGTATGTTGTCATAACTTCCATCATTTTTCTTTTCTATTCTTTTCTTCCTTTGCAACCTTGAAATGAATTATGAAAAAAAAGAAGTTTGTCGATTTTTCTTTTCACGAAGAACGAACAGTAAATCAATCTTTTCGTCATTCTTTATAAGCAAAGGTGTATAGATGAAGTGAATAGTTGTTTTGACTTTCATTTTGTCTGTTCCATTAGACGGTAAAAAAAAACGTCCCAATCTCACACAAAACAAGCCATATTTTTCCCGGAGAACACGAGTAGTGAATGATAGTGATCCTTTACTCGTCTTTAGGACAAAGTTAGGAGTTGAGTTTTGAAGTTGAGGCAAAATAAAATGGAGAAGAATTGTGTCATTCAGTTATGAAATTTAAATATTTTCAAGGACAATACATTTTAAGTTTTCTTTTCAGTCAAATCTAGACATTGTACAATTTTTTTCCAAGAATGAGCACCATTTTGTTTTTCAACTAGAAAATGAAGCTGTTCTATCCTTTTAGAATAAAGTATCAGTTAGGATAGGATATAAGAGCTTTCAGCATTTTCCTATCAAGCTTTTATTGTTCTCACCCTCTTCGACGGATCTGACAGATATGTCAACATGTCTGGCACCCTATTCGATAGTCTGGGTTTTAATTTCTTGATAGACCACGACAGACGTCATTAGATTTGGCTATAATGGTTCAAGTGGCTCTATCATATTTGATGTCTTGTTTTCTTTATCGTATACGTATGTAGTTAGTGTGACTGCTCGTATGTGAGCAGAACAATTTTGATTGTAATTTTGAAAACAATAGAAAACGAGTTTGAACATTAGAATCTATAAAAGATAAATAATCTCTTTTGTTTTCTGAAATTATAGCACATGGAATCCACAATGTGTTCTATTCAAGTTCATGTTCGCCGTACAGGTGAAATGGTTAATATCGATGTGATCCCATCAACGACTACGTACGATGAAGTCATCAGAAAAGTTTGCGAAAGAATCAATGAACCAGAACCGAGTCATTATTATTTAACATTAAATTATGAAGTTGAATTAAAAAATGATGAGGTATTTCAGTCACAATCGCAAGACGAACGATATCAGCTAATTATGCGAACAAGATGGTTATTGGAGTATTTGGCTGAAAAGGAAAAGCTAAGAAATTTATTGATTCAAGAAAAGATGATGATGAACGGTAAAGTGAACTTAACAAAAAAGAAGATTTTTGTGAAACACGATTGAAAATGAGTGTTGAAGTATATAGCGAGAAATTTGAACCCCTTCCCACCTCCCACCACAGGTCGTGACAAACAGAATTGATAAAGCTTCCAGCTGTCACCATGATCTATATAGTTGAGACTCTGCTTAACAAGTGCAACGAATTCATCATGTTTTACATTTGAATCCCGAGGGGCTTGCGCTGAAAGCTTTTCTACGAGAAATTTTGCTCAAAAACTATTTTCTTTAGCTCATACATTTTCTGTTTCATTGGATTATCCAGATCTACATGTCTTCGAGATTATTCTGACCCAGAATATACGCAGACACACTGTTTGTTGTTTGTTGAAAAAACTGAAGGAAAATACCATTTGAAATAAATTTTCACTAGTCTTTTCACGCTCATAGCAGTCCGATGTACATAGGTTTTGTGGGTCCAAAGCTTTCTCTTTAATAGCAAGATTCCATCGATTAACAAGCTGTACCGTAGTAAAGTCTTGCAATAATTCTATTTCAGACCTAAATTGAGCTACAGGCCTATAAATTTCATTACAAACTTCTGGACGCATGAGAAATTATTACTAAAATTTTCAAAGAAACTAGTAGAGATTAGCTCGAGTTATCGACATTAAACTGGAGAATAGGGTTTACTACTTGGTGAAATTTTTTGGTGTAAAAATCAGATCTCCCTTATTTCAAGATGATTTTCCATCAAATTTTTACGAGAGGAAGCTGCATCATTAGATTGTCAAATGAGAGATTGTGTGAACATAAATGTCGAAGATGAGCGAGATACAATTTTTATAATGTGAGAATAGTGTTCAATTAATAACTCCAGAGTATGTCTGCCGACTAAGGATAGGGTGGTACCTGTTACCTAGCTCACATGAGCTCTATTCGTAATAATTAGAAATGTGAAGACTATCTATTGAGGTTGAGACAGAATTCAACTATTATCGGAATCTTTTAGTAACGACCGTATATTCATCGATAATAGAAAGAATCGATAAGTCGCTCCCTATTTTTATATATTATATGTATCTGATCCTTCGCTGGAGTGTAAAGAGATATATTGGTTTATATTGTCTTATTTATTAATATTGTTTCTGATTCAAAACTTTAAATAGTGCGAACTATTTTGTTTATAGTTTTGCCAACTGCTCTATCACATGCGATCGAAAACTCAAGCCAGGAAACAACGGAGACAAGTATTGTCAATGAGCGACTAGATCACATTGTTTCAAACTCCAATTCAATAGCATCATCATCTAGCAATGAAAATAATCAGGATATTCCTCATGATGTTGTTCATGCCAATATTCCGCATATATCACGACGAGATATACAAAATTATCTACATCAAGCTATAGGGAAAACGTTTGATATTATGTTAATGGGTTCGCCTAGAGTTGGAAAAAGTACACTGATCAATGCCATTTTACAAAAAGATGTAGCTCAAACACATGCCGGATATAATGCATGTACGAAAGAGTCTTGTTATTATGAATATGAAGAATCTTATATTACAGAAACCGAAGGCAACACGACAAGAACATCAACAAGTTCAATTCGAATTTGGGACTCACCAGGTATTCAGGATTGGACAAGATTAAATGTGACAGAATATGTACAAGATTTAATTAACAAAAAAAATCCAGTATGTCTCATTTTTTGTGCATCACCAGGTACCTATGTTGAACTTGAACAACTCAAAGGTATTGTTGAAGCATGCAAAAATTTAAAAGTATTCATTGCAATGGTCGTAACAAACATGTATGCATCGGATGAAGCAGATATCATCTTGAAATTATTTCAGGACACTCTAATTCATCATCATGTACAAACAAAAGTCGAAAAGAATATTTATTATTATGGTCCCGTTGGTCTTTGCACCCAAGTCAATTCAATTGATTATGTAGTAGACGATATTAAAAAGAAGCCAGAAGGTGTCCATGAGTTAATGTTAGGCATTATGAATTCATTAAATGATGAGAAACTGTTACAATGGTGTTTTGCAATACAAAACAATGCTCCATTCTGGGCTAGAGCCCAAAAACGAATTTGGAGAGTATATTCTTCTTTCAAACGTTTACTTAGTCTTTGATGTTTCTCTATACATGTTAAAAAATATGTTCACTTTCAACACTTGTGCACTCACAGAAGATGTAGATATGTATGGACTTATGGGAAGAGAGAAATAACATACTCATACCGTCACAACTCCCACTCCCACCCTTATTTTGTAAAGTTTTCAAGAATGCATAGATCAATTATTTCATCCGATGTTGTATCGATGTATGTTTATTAGGAAAGCAATCAATAGAACTCTCAAGCATACAAGTGATTCTTCTTCTGGTTTTTCTCTCTATGTTGCCAAAGCATCTACTTGATAATTGTACGCGCAGAAGTCCTCTTGGAATCAGCATAGTTTCATCAGACTGTAGACACTCACGAAATGTGTTTTCATCTCACAGTCGTCATTGATTGATGTTGAGTTCCGTTGTTGAGGATTATCGAGTAGATAAAGAGAATAGCAAGAAAAGGAAAACAGAAGATGAATGAGAGATTCAAATTGAACAAGTGTCTAAGCAACTGGATCACTTGATGGACAGAAGTTAGTAATCCATGTGTCAAGGTCTTTCATATTGTAGCAGAAGGTTTCCGGATCAGGTTCTGCTTTGAAAACCAGTTTACCCTGATACATGACATAAAAACGAAAAGGCCAAGATCCGTAAGTATTATGAAAGGTATTCTCCATATTGTCGACAAGCATGAGCACTTCGAAATTAAAATTCTCTTTGCATTGACGAGCATTCTCAAGTCGTTGTTCGAGTGTTGTTGGCTGATCCACACATGAAATCGTTTTGCCTACAGGCCATTGATCACGTGCGTGTGCTTCAGCAATGTAAATCACCAATAATTGCATTACTTTAGGCGTGTACGAGCGAAATAGCGCGCTATAAGCAAAGACTAAAGAGTGAATTTATGAATAATATATGAAATACATACTTCATTCGCTCGGCTGACGCCCGAAATGGAGGTCAGCTAGTTGAGCCGGCCAATACAATCAAAGGTTGATCGGCTGACATATGTGAGAAGAGAGTTGTCGGATGACCTTCCATGGTAAACAAATCAACATCTTGGACACTTTCACCACAATTGACCAGACCTTGGGTGACCTTATTGTGCTTTACTAGAAATCAGTAAACAAAAAATATTTAATTTCATTTCCATCAACAATCCGAACACTATCATTCGACACAGAATCAATAAGGAATGATTGACCGCTTTTTCCTACTACTTCTCCAAGCCATTGTTCACTAACATAGCTTAGTATCAGTTTTTTAGTGACGTTTGACGAAAAAGATGTGTTTCAATAGTGTCAATGTGGAGAAGACCTCTTTAGGACGCAAGTAGAAGAGAAGCACTTAGTTTTATCTCATATTCTAGGTATTAACATTCGCAAATAAAGACTTTTCTGAGTAAAAAATCAGTTGTATGATTTGCACAGAGTGATGAAAACTTATCACAGTAAATATTTTGAATAATACTTGAATTCTTTATCGTTGAAATAAGCAAGATGATCTTCGGTAATTTCCAGTATTTATAACTCGAATAGCTTAAATCCAACCAGATCTATCCCTTCGAGTATTTTTCAACAAAAACTTACCATAAAATACTTCCTTGACAACAGGATCATTCGGAAAGCGATACAAAGCGGTACGCAATGCATTCATATGTTGATATCCGAAATGTTCGACGACATGTTGTTGAATAAGATCGTGTATTAAACTAGAGTTTCATAGTTATAGTTAGTTAAAGATAACAAAACGACAATACTCACGTTACGCTATCTTCATCTATATGATACAAGTCCATGAGCTCTTGAATCGGCTCCGATAATCGAAGACGTGTTTCATACATAATCATCTCGCGTAGTGTCTCGATCGGTGGTAGTTCATCAGAATTCTTTACTTTATCGAAACCCATCCGACCTGAACTGGGGAAGAACATACGACACATTCGCTTTGAATTACGAGCGCGAGACTTTGGTGGACGTGGCTGCTGTGATGCTGGCGAGGGAATAGGTCGTGCCGAAGACTGATTGTTAGTCACTGGTGGCGGTGGTGGTGGTGGTTCTTGAGCAGTAATTGCCGCTCTAGTCTTCTCTTTAATAACAGTATCTCGTTGTTGCTCGGGATCTATCGAGTGCTGTTCATGCTCGGCAGTAACTTCGTTAGATAACGTCCTTTTACGCGACATTCTTTCACCGTTTTCTCGTGACATACGAAGGGAAAATGAGAAATAAGCACTTTTATAGAAGAAAAAGTGAAGAGAACAGTAAAATATGTTCTTGCACCATCATGTTGTCATATGTGCACACGATAAAGCTGCTGAATGTAAAAGATGTAAAAGTGATTCATAACGAGTAAAGACGTATGGTGAACTATAACGAAATGGACGAAGAAAATGGCGTCATCTTCTTGACTAGTTTTTAAAATGCACAATGTGATTCAAAAACCATACTTTGTTCGTAAAATTTAGAGAATTTAACAGAAATTTTATTTCTACTTATTGTAACAATAAACATGTAATATTCCTCTATAATAGTGAAAACTGTGGCGATTGATGGAGACCCTTCGTTCTGAGAATGAGATATGCCTATGTTTTTGTTTGCGAGCGAATTGCGACGCAGTTACGCGCAATTGTGAAAAACATTCAAAGTTACGCGTAGTTGCGAAAGAAAATTGTAGTTACGCACAACTGCGATTTTTTTCGCAATTGCGCGTAACTGCGTCGCAATATGATCACTACTCCGATGCAACTGCATCGCAATTGCTAAAAAATATCCAACATGGGATGGAGAGATTTTTCGATATGTCGAGCAATATGGAAATTCTGATATATTGTCATCGGTATGTAAGATACAAGTATCACAAAATTATTCAGACGTTACCGTTACAGAAGAACACCAGATGTTTCTTCTACAATAACACAAAAATTAAAACAGATTCAAAACTCTATATTTTCTCACCAAGACAAAGTTTTTTAGTCAAACCCTGTCTGGAATCCTTAGGATAATAGTATGATTATTTAACTGAATTGGACAGCACAATCTAAATGTCTTCACTTCAATCGGATGAAAATGTCTAATAAATTAATATTGTGAAACCTTTTCTATCTTGAAATTAAACAAACATGTTTGTCTGAGTGTGAGTGTGAGTGCATGGGTATTGATCTTTTCTTCACCCATGCACACCCCTAGTCACACATACACCATACTCATATCCACACCCATCCGCAACTACACTCTATTCCTCGTGATCAATGGTCAACTGTATCAAACAACGTTTCAAATCATTAGACAACTACTGTTCAGACTTGGTTATGTCTGATCATTGATAATTATTTTATGTTGAGTAGTTAGAGAAGCGAACATCTACTTATCTTTCTAAGAATAAGTTTGTGGATTGTCATTCGAAGCGATGAAATTAAATCATAACACCATCAAATAAATAGATTAATTGATTTCGATTTCAGATTATTGTCGATTCCTGGCACATAGCTTTTCTCAAACGACTTAGTCTTCACCATCGTGAATTGAAAAAGAATCTAGCTGCATTATGTCATGCAGAATCTGAAGATCCTAAAAAGAATATGACTCATTGGATTGGTTATATTGATGGACCAGAGGAAACACCATTTGCTGGTGGAAGATTTCATCTCAATATTAATTTTCCAGCAGAGTTTCCATTCAAACCACCACATATTCGATTTATTACATCAATTTATCATCCAAATATTAGTATAGAAGGTGAAATATGTTTAGATATGCTTCATTCTCAATGATCTCCAGCATTAAGTATTCGTACTCTCTTAATATTGTTATGTTCATTATTAGCAGATCCCAATGTTGAACATGGATTGAATAGAGACGCATTGAAACTTTGTCAAACGGATAAGCAAAAATATGAAGACATAGCAATAGAATGGACAAGAAAGCATGCTGATAATCGTCAAAGCCTCAAGTGGTGAAGATTTTATAAAATATCAATAGGATTTCAACGAATAGTTTTTTTTTATATGAGGGTGTGTGTATGTGTATGATCTTCTCTTCATCCATACCCACACCTACATCCCACATCCATACCTACAAAGTATAAATAAATAGAAGACAAAAACAATATAAAACAAATATAACAATATGAATGGAAAAGACAATTGAATTGTCGAGAGATTTAATTCTATCCAATAATATTACATTCATAATAATATTATGATCAGTCATGTTACCCTCGATTGATTAATCTACGCTTCACTATATGCTAGAAGATATATCATTAGTTAGAAGAAACATGAGCAAGTGAATATTGGTATTATATATATAATTTTTTAAATACGACATTTTTACTATGTCAAAAATTATTAGATTGAATACATGGACGTAGAGCGTGGGACTATAATATTTACCTAATGACTTGAAGTTAATTTTAAGATTAAAACTTTATTCGTAGAAAGTTTTCGCATAGATGTCAAAAAAAGTTTTATATATATAAATTACAGTATCAAATGCGTTAATTGTTAAGAAAAATTTTCATTCACAACTGGGTGACATTCGAGTTTTACTCGGCTACGAAATGCAGTGTGAAACGTCGAATGTTGATTATCGAGAGACTGACAATTCATAGAAACGAACTATTGTCTTCATGATTGACTTCAATACTTTTCTTCTTGAATATACTACATTGTTGATGAGAGAAGAGTGTCCGTCCATTTTTCTCGTCGAGTCATATCTAGTGTGTGTTGTGTCTTGATTTCTAGGTATAACTTCATTCTATAAATAAATAATAAGATGTATAATCCTTGCCCTTTTTATTGTCATGATGTTAATATTATTATTATTATTATTGGAATACAAAAAAAAAATCAAGAAGAATAAGGAGAACAAAAAAAAATTAAATCCTATTTTCTAAACAAGTGGATAGCTGGCAGACGTAGCAATACCACATTCATTGCGTTTATTACGAGTCATTCTGATGTAACCTTTTTCACCCCAGTTTACACCCCAACTAGAAATAATTATAAGATAAAATATTCAATAAGAATCAAGTATAGCAATTACTTGTTTTTGACAATCCAGTAATCTTTACCAGATTCTGTACCATAACCTACAGCAAGAACGGCAAGGTCAAGATGGATTTGTGAGCAGAATGGTTCGTGATAGACTAAATTAATCAATTTGAAATGACTGAAAAATTTACGAAAATACAAAAACTACATACCACCCTGTTTGTATAATTGAAATGACCTATGACTAGCATCAATGACAACCGAGATTGGACCAATGGTAGCAACAGCTTCTTGAAGAGCACTTTCATTTTTTGATTGAATATTGTTGAAGCCAGTAACAGTAGCACCAACAGTTTCTGCTTTAAATCGGCATTGATTATCGTCGTCTTCATATGGATATGAGTCTTCGGTATCAATACCACTGTTGTCCTTAATGTATTGAAAGGCTTGATTGACTTCACCACCAACACAACCCATGTTACCTTGTTTGCCTGAACAATCGACTAAATTTTGTTCTGAGAGTGAAACTAGTTTGCCAGTTGCATTGAAATGTTGACCTTCAAGTGAGCCAGTTGCTGAAAAAGCCCAGTCTGAAGTACATTGACCTTGTTCTTTAACTGGAGTAACATAACCTTTTTCACGCCAGTCTATAAGAAAACAATAAAATTGCTGTATAGAAGATAATTTCTATTAGTAATTTTACATACCAACAGTATCTGGTAATTTAACAGTTGGATTTCGTGTAAATTCATGACGATCTTTATTACGTTGATCATTGATTGTGACCTTGTAACTGTTCATCATTTTAGCAAATTCAATAACAGTCTATTTTTTAATACAAAATAAAATTTGTAGTAACATCTATAAAATTTTTACCAAATCAGCAAATTTATTCATTCCGAGCCAATATGTATAAACACCAAGGTCAGCTTGAAGATTGTGTTTTTGTACTTGCTTTAAATTACTTTCCCATATAGCTCGACTAAAAAAAAAATGTTGTTTTTTTAAATAATTAATCAATAAAATCTGTAGATTGAAACAAATATTTCATACCGAATATATTCTTCAACATCGGAATAATGTTTATTATTAGTTTCTTTCCATAATTTCCATTGTTGATTAAGTGTAACATCGAGAGCTAATGTACAGCTAAAAACTAGTACAAGAATGGCAAGAACCGAACTAGACTGCATCTATATCAACAATTCAAAAAATAATCATTCAAAACTGGATTTTGAGTTTTTTTATCTCATCTTTTACTCACCTTCGTTTATTGTATGATAAAAGAGAGTGCGATTTAATTGTGACTTCACACAAGCTGTTATACCCTGACTTTATCTTATTTTTCACATGTCTTCTATATCATTATCTTTCATGGTGAAGCATATTGTTACCATTCCTTTACATATTCATAACTTCATCGTGTTTTTTAATGTCCTGCATCTACTCAGGACAATAAAAGATTAATATATACGAAATACCATCATCAAAGTGAAGACAAATTTATTATTGGTACCTCAAAAAGAAAATTCTAGAATTAGTCTATTAGAAAAATTATTTGGTGTTTTTCGAATTTTGCATGAAAAGAAAGACTAGAAGAATTTAACTTGTACACGAGAAATTTGGGCGATTTAGTAGCGGTAATGTTTGAAATAGATGTTCGACTCACATATACTATTGCTTCAGAATCGATTGTTTTCAAAATTATTGCAAAAAAATACTTTTACTAAGATGCAGTGGTGGCAGTGAAAGTAATAGTAGTACTTGTTGTGATTGACGAAGAGAGAACAATAGCTACAGAATTTGCTATGTTTTTACCGTGATATCCGAGCACATTTTCGTACTGTTGTTCATTTAAAAAAAGAAGGCGCATGGATGTTTGTCCATGGGCCTGATGAGTATACGAAGAGCAGTCGAGAAACCAATTTTTATAGCATAAAGACATATTGCAGTATATCCTGGATATGTCAATATGGATCTGATGCTTTTCAACTGTCACCGTACATTTAAATAACTTTATCACATAACAAATGAAGGCTTGAAACAAAATTGATGATGCAAAAAGAAAGTTTAAGGATTTGTCATCAATTTTGAACGTTGGATTGTATTCAATGAAGAAAATGCACACCCCTACTTCTGAATCAATAGTAACGAATCGTATGTAGGACGGATGCAAAATGACGGATAAAGAAGTGGCACAATAAGTAACGTCATCTAGAACATTTTACCATTCAGAGAGATAGTTGAAAAGTCATGAGTGACTGCACAGATTTACAAAGTGCTTTATTCTCTATTTGCTTATCGATTATTTTTCTCCAAAAATGAAACCATCCACTCCACTGTCTCTTGTGCAAACATACCATCTTTTCCATAAAAAAGGCGAAAAGGAAGTAAGCACATCAATTAACCTTTGTGTTATTATGGCCAAATGAGAAAACTTGTAGACTGTTATATTGTGAAGGTTTGCAATCAAATCATCTTAAAAATAAAACATAGATTATAATTAATCATGTGGATTTCTATCTATTTATCGAGGATATTTCTATTTGATTGGCTTTGGAGGACTGAATTTTCAATTTATTAGTGTAAGTATTCGAACTGAACAAATAGAAGTAAGAAAAATATAAGTAACTGAAGATGATTAGATGAGAATTTTTCCGGTTTGAGACAGGTAGTCAGGTATTTATTTTTGAAAATAAAAATGGAACAGAACTTCTTATTGGTCTTACATGCTTAATAAGAATAAGTCATTTGTAGATACAAGACAATAGGCCTCGTAAAAAAAATATAACTTTGTAAAAGTGATATCGAGATAAAAACGAATGTTGATACACCTTATTGGTTTCTTCAGTGTGAGACAACATATTGAACTGAAGATATCTGTATTGCCGACGCATGAATATCATCCTATTGATTTTGTTATTTAAATTTCGTGACTTCAAATTGAAAGAATTCAATGACCAGAAATAAGCATTTCTGTCTTCAGCTATGTTTGAATGGTATAAAGTCGTTATTTCGACGACATATTCTCTCTGTTGTATTCACCGATACGGAAAGACTTTTTTTAATAGTCTTGCAATGTGATCCAAGAAACTCTTTACAGAAAAATTATTATTTTTTCGAGTCTTTGGAAAAAAACAATCATAAGAATCGACTATACACTATCTTTTCAAAAAGAATTGTATCAAAATCCAGAACACAATTGTCTTTACAATGAGTAACATGCGAGAACCTTGACAGAACACTATCGCTCATAGGTTACGTAAATTGACGAGTAAAAAGTTATTTTTCTAATAAAACTTTCTACTCTGTCATCCATTTCATTTAACCAAGATGTATGGTATTGTTTTGCCATTGTACACATTTGTTAATGTTGACGGATATGTTTTTGCTTTATATGTAAGTACATTGTCGGATCTTGATTTGACACTTTCAAGTAAGATTTCTACCATTCGATCAATATCGAAAAGTGGATAATCAGTTGTATCAATCAAATTCAGAGTATATTCGTTTTGAAAACGAATATTATCGATAATATTTCGCACTTCTTTTCCTTTGTCTTGCCTTAAGACTATATCTGCTTTCATTTCATTTTTAGTCAAAGGTAAATTGATTTTTCCGAGAATTACATCACAAGCATACCATGCTTGAATATCTCCAATATTAAAATTGAATGTTATACGCTGCATACTCACATAGAGCAAACGAGATTGATTCAACCAAAATATTGTCTTATATTAATTCGATGGATAAAGACAATTTGTCGTTTTCAAACGACGATTATCGTTGAGAAATGGAAAATAATGTAAATATCCAATACAAACAATAATTGATTGTACCTTTTGAAATGAACTATCTTTAACATAGACAATTTCTCTATCAATCTTTGCGATTAACGGGATTTCTTTGATTTCATCGGACTATTTGAAATTCATTGCTTTAGTTTGATAGGTAAGTGTTATAGA